GATAAACCAATGTTTAAATCATTAGTGCATATATTAAATTTTAATTTCACTAATTTAAAAAATTGAGGATGTAATGGTGCATGAGGACTATAGTAAGTTAAAAAACTGCTTCTAGAAAAATTAAGTTTTTTGGTGGCTATGTTAATTTCAACAAATTGATGGAACTGAGGTGTGCAAAAAAACTGGTTCACTTGTCCTGCCCTTGATTCGACCTTGACCTGACCCATAAATACCTATATTTTTTGAACTGGTTTAAATACTGACCCACTTTTATTTGGGTCAGTTTTAGACCTGACTTGTTTTAATATTGACCCATTGACCCAAAACTTGACCCATACCCATTTTGTGAAAAAAAAGAAAATCACAATTACATTAAAAAAAAGTTTTAACGTAAAACAATTATGTCAAATGTTTAACGAAAAATATTTCCATAAAAAGTTTTCGCAAAATTTTTTAACGAAAAATATTTTCATCAAAATTTGTGACTAAAAACATTTATATAAAAAAATTTGACGGAATATTTTTTTGTCAATTTTTTTTACAGAATCTAAATTTCGTCAAAATATTTCACAAAAAAATATATTCATCAAAAATTTCGACGAAACACATTTCCATCGAAATTTTTTGACGGAAAAAAATTTCATCAAAATTCTTTACAGATTTCGAATTTCGGCGAAAGTTTTCGACGGCAACATTTTCATTAAAAATTTTGTCAAAATTTTTAGCGAAACACATTTCTATCGAAAATTTTCGACTAAATATTTTGTCAAGTTTTTTTGATAAAAAATATTCCATCAAAATTTTCAACGGAACACATTTTTGTAAAATAATTTCGATAAAAATTTTGACGGAAAAAATATTCTGTCAAAATTCTTTAGAGAATCTAAATTTCGTCGAAAGTTTCGAATGAAACATTTCCCTCAAACCAATTTCCATCGAAAATTTGGACAAAACACATTTCCATCAAAAAAATTTGACGGAAAAAAATTTCATCAAAATTGTTTACTGATTTCAAATTTTGGCGAAAGTTTTCGACGGAAAAATTTTCGTTAAACTTTTTGACAAAAAAAAAAAATTTCGTCAAAATTTTTAGCGAAACACATTTCCATCGAAAATTTTCAACTAAATATTTTCCTCAAGTTTTTTGATAAAAAATATTTTCATCAAAAATTTCTACGGAACACATTTCTGTAAAAAAAAATTTCGATAAAATTTTTGACAGAAAAAATATTCTGTCAAAATTCTTTAAAGAATCTAAATTTCGTCGAAAGTTTCGAATGAAACATTTTTTTCGAAACAATTTTCGTCAGAACACATTCCCATCGAAATTTTGAACGAAAAACATCCATCAAAATTTTTGATAGAATTTTTTTTTTCGTTTAAAACATTTGATGGAAGAAATCATTTTTGTCAAAACTTTTGACAGAAACTAAATTTTGATAGAAAATTTATTTTTGAAAAAAATTTCATTAGAGAAAAAATTTCATTGGTTTTCGACAAAAAGTATTCCGACGAAAAAATAATTTTGTGACGAAATTCTCGTCATTTGCAATGTAAAAATTTTGACGAAATTTTGTGAGGAAACCAAGTCAAAAACGGGTCAGGTCAGATTTGACCCACTTCAGAAATCAAGTCAGACTCACTTCAGAAACTAAGTGAGGTCAGATATGATCCAGTTCTGAACTAGTTCAACAAAATCCAAACCAAGTCAGACCTGACTTGGATCAAATTAAATTAGGTCGGGTCAAAATAACTGAGTTGGGTCGAGTCGGACAAAAATTTGACCCGACCTGACCTCCTAACTACGAGTAAACAATTGTCTCCATTTTGCCATGACGAGAGAAGTAACAGGTTTGAACCGTGAACTCAACCAAAAAACCTAAACTTCATGAAACAACGCTAGAAAAATTGAAGGTAAAGACTAAGTTAGAAAAAATCTAAGTCAGGCACCAACCTATTAATCATTGAATTTTTTTCAAATTTTAGGAGGGGCCGATGGCCCATCCTAGCCCCTCTGGTCCGTGATTGTTAGGTTAATATTATATTAATAATTTTATATTATATTTTTTTAAGATTAAAAGTATACCTAAATAGCATTTTTTGATACCTCAATTCCAGCGCAATCCCTTCCCCGGAATCAAAATCAAAAAGGAAAAATACCATCCCTTTTCCACAGACAGAGAGAGAGAGAAAAAAAGGGGGGTGGGCGTGGGCGGTGCTGATATGATTCTCTAATCATGAAGCTATGTTGAATTCTATGAAGCTCTCATTACTGATACTCTCTTCTTAATTGACCAAATAACTGTTATTTAACAGAAATACCACTAATTAAGAATGTGTTGTATGGCTAGTACAGAAGTGCTTTTTGTTCCTTCATCTCTCCATTAGCAAATGGTATTCAAACACGAACAGAAAGAGAAATGAAAAGAGAACACCCCCATTGTTTAATTTCAACTTTCATGTAGGGATAGAAATTTTAAAATAGATGTACATATATACGAACACGATGTAATTGAATGAGAAACAGTAATATCAATTAGCTAGACACACATCAAAGAGTAACATCAGCTAGCTAAATTCTTTAGAAAATGATGCATGCACTTGTAAAACTGAGCTCCGATTGTTCTTAATGCGTTATATCATGTAATATAATTAGATAGATACCTTTGTCACTATTAAGAGGTTCGCTTCAATGTCTATTGTAATTATTAAAATAGCAAAGTGAGATAGAAAGTGATGAATCGAATATAAAAGAGGAAACGAATATAAATCATTTTATTGAAACTGTCATCTTTGAAGCCACAACTTTTTCACTTGTCATAGATAAGTAACTTTAATGGGTTATATCTATGTTTCGATATGTCATTTCAAATTGGACCTTAACGGGGCTTCAAGCCTTCACTTCTTGGCCCCAACATTTTCGGTTGAGAACATTCAAGTTGGCAGCTATATCCCATACTCTTTATTAAATTGGTGGACGGTTGACAAATGATTATAATGATTCATGAACACAAAGTTGTGTGCGCAAATGTGATATATGATAGCAATAGCAATGGATTGACAAGCATTACATCCTATTCGTATGTAAGTAAGTGCATATTCATCTAAAAGACCCGAATCTCCTTAAAAATAGGCTTTTTGGTTAATGAAATCTGGAATGGGGATTATTGTGGCATTGAAGATATTGGATGAGCATACGTCAACTCAATCTTTTCAACAAGACATTAAGGCTTCAATTAACCACTCATTATAACACACCATTGTGGAATGTTGAGTCAAAAAGGACCTTGGCTGACAGGGAATTGTTAAATCACAATTTACCAGCACACTTTTGCAACTACGGGTCGCTGCATACAACTTCTATGTGCTTATTGGTGTTGTAATTGCGACAAATAATGCCATTATTAATCATTGACGTGTATTAATTTCAACAAACAACTTGCAATATGGCAACCCAAAAATAAAAATAAAAATAAAAATTGCAGATTCTTTTTTTTTTTTTTAAGTAAATAGATTCTTTTTGTTTTAGATTAAAACTTTTGTGGTAAAACATTGCATGCCTAGTGATACCATATTATAGGTGGGACAATTACCCATGTTTTATTTTCTTGATCCCAACGATAGAATAAAAGATCGTTAGTTACTACAAAGAAGCAAGATTCCTCACATCTTTTGGCTCTGTCATTTGATGTAGATATGTAAAGGAGGTATTCTTTGGAGGAGAATTCACTAACTCTTCCAATGCATGTCACTGGTGGCCATATATTTTTTCTATGACCATAAGGAGGCAGAGTAATCTCAGTTTCATTTTTAGGAGTAACAAGTTTTGATACCTCATAGACCTTGTTACCTGAACATTTAACATAGATGTTTCCTTTTGCCTGGGTATTGTATACATACATTTTGGAAGGAGAACACATGCCTGAATCCCAACATGTAAACAGCAATGACAGCACAATGGCAATTGTTAAGTGGAAGTTGTTCATGGTTAGAAATTATCTTGTTCTGATGCTTTCTGTTCCCAGAATTCATATTCCACTATATATTCAGTTCAAGGACCTTGTCATTTATTGTTTCTGTTACAATAGGAGCTATGAGTTTACATAGCGTTAGTGAATTACATTTAATGATACATTACTACTTCACATTTATTTTTTTGCTAATACTAACGCAGGTTAGATGTGAAAGAATCAAATGTAGCCCAGTAGTTATTACTTGTTAATGAAGAGAAATTGGGCCTCCATTATTTTCTAAAGATTGGCCCAATGTCAGTCAAAAATATTTTTGGGTCTAAAAGTCTTTAGCTGGCTGATTCATGAGATACATGTTTCTACCTCAATTGTTAGATCACTTCTTCACCAAAATATTAACTTATCGATCAACAGGTTCAAGTAGCAGAGTTCCAAATTCGAGTTATGGAATTGGAGAAAATGGTATTTAGACGGATTGGATGAAAAAATATAGGGTTAAGATGCGACTAATATACTTTTAACAATTTATAACTATGTACTAAGAATAATACATGATTATAATATTAAAGTTGTATTTTTTTTCACTTTCCATATCAGCAAACAGTGTGAAGAGAGAGAAAAAAGTATAATTTTAATATTATAACTATTTACTACACTTAATACATAGTTATAAATTGGTAAAAAGACATAAGTTATATCCTTTAACAAGATAAATTATTTTTTCAAAAATATATAGGAAAAATCATCACTTCGATATCCGTATCAATCATTTTTTTATTTTCTATATTTTTTTAAGGTAGGTCCCACTTTTTCTTGTTTCTCTACGTAGTAAAGCTCCAACTTATCATGCAACATCAGAAGTTGCAAGTCCAAAATATATAGGGTAAACCAGGCAAAACAAAATGCATGATTGTATATGATAGAAAAGGTTTAGGATACATATATCATACATGTATAATAATACACAAATATATATCAAGTCGCGAGTACTAATACATTAAAATTGATCTTCAGTATACCATTTTTAATTTACTGGGGTATAGCCAAAAGGGCTTGGGATTGCTTCTCATAGCGGAAACCATTTGCCTTGGAATCATCAGCAGACCACACAAAAATACCATGAAGTTTTTTCTGAATTTTGAGCCTATGACAGGCTGTGAAGAATCCATTATCTGGGGACAACCCACCACTCCCATCACTAATGAAGCTCACTAAGACCTTCCCACCATTGTAATTTGAACTTTGTATGTTGAAGTAATCAATAAACTGTGACACACTTGTGCCTTTGTCATATGCATAAAACTGGAAGTTAACGTAATCTATGAGGTGCCCGTAACTCTTCCACAAGGCCATGTAGTGACTCTGAACTTGATCATCATCAAATGGAGCAATAGAAGCAAAAGTTATGACCCCATTTGTTTTGAGAGTTTTGATTAGTTTCCCCACACACTCAGCAAAGGTATCAGGGTCTGACTTGAAATGCTCATAGTCAATGTCAATTCCATCCAAATTATAGTCCTTGATTATGTTTGTGAGTGAAGAAACTGCATTGGAAACCCATGAATCAATTGAAGATGGATCAAAGTAAGCAGAGCCACCTCCAACACTGTCCCCTCCAAGACTAAGTGCCACCTTAACATTTGAATTCTTACTCTTGATGGAAGAAACTTGGGAGGGGCTAAGGTTTTGAGTGTCCCAAAAGATGTTAAATTTTCCGTTGGTTGGAGAAGGGGAAGATGATGATGTGTCATAGTCTATAGCGAAGGAGAGAATGAAGTGGAATTGGACATTTGGGTTGACAGGGACATCTGAAAATTTGACATTGTTGAACTCAGCTCCAATGTATTCTCTGAATATGTTAGAGCTTGATGAGGGTGATTCTCCAGCATGGGTTGATGTAAGGAGCAAGAAGAAGAAAAAGAAGAAAGTTTTAAGGGTGAAAATGGTAAAGCAAAGGTTGGGAATGGGAAGTTCCATTGTCATCCCACTAATGTTTATAGTGCTATGCTACGAGGTAATCAAGCATTGCTTTGATGAGTTTATATAGTAATGTAACATAGTTTATGGATGATGAAGTGCAAATATAAAATTGGATGCATGCCGTAACCATATGTTGGTCCTTTATTTATTGTATACTAAATTGGTTTCACATATTGAAGACACGTCCTTTTTCCACAGAAAATTAAACTATATTAGCCTTTGTTGAATCTTGTTTTGTTGCTTTTGTTAGTAGAAAGACAGTCATTCACAGCCAATCGCCTCCCACTTCTGAATTTTCTGCCCACTGCCTTTTGATCTAGTTTTGATCATTGTACAGAACGTTGATAGTAGCCTACTTCCTTATACTTTTATTCATTTTATGGTTAGTGGGGGTGATATTAAAAACATGATGCCTTAATTATTATCTTGAGTTTGTCTTTGGAATCATTCAAAATTAAAAATAATCTGATTTAGTTTCAATTGAATTGATTTGATTTACAAGGGCTCATATATACCAAGTCATTTACACTTTTTATCCAAAAATTCTACTTATCATATCCTTAAAAAATAAAATTAATATGAATTCAAGTGAATTAAGAGAAGGAGTAAAACAAAAAAATAAATAGAAATGGGTAGGTTTAGGCTAATAAAGATGAGTGTTATTAATCTCATGTTAAAGAAGATAAGTTTATCTCATGTTATAGAAACAAATATGTGGATCCCACCATCTAAAGAAAAAATATATAATTATCGAAAGATGTGTAGAAAAAAAAACTAATATCATATAACATGAGAATAATTTTTTTCAATAAAAATATATGCAGAAGAAGAAAAGAAGTGAGAAACAAACAGTACAACGGCCCATAGAAACAAGTTAAAAGACCTGAGGTTTTTGGTACGGCAATCCTTACTTGTAAGCTAATTGTCTTGGAAGGCAAAGCGTCTCAATTCTGAATTGACCTACTTTCTCTTAATATTATTTAGGGGGGAAACTTTATTTTATTGGCAACGAAGTTACTTGAGAATGTGCCAAAATAAAAGACTGGTCTAAGGGTGGTGGTCTAATAGAAAAGCAATGTCAACTGAAGTTCAATGAATGAAGGGAATAGGCCCACCTTAGTGTCTGAAATCACAGCCCAACCCAATTGTCTTGTTCTCCTTTTAAAGCCCAACAGTCTCTCCTTATTCAGCTATCATTAGAATAATAATACCGCATAATCTCAAGGTGATCTTAAACTTTTGGAAAAAGAAAAATGTAAATTATCACGATTAATTGGAAAATCAACACTTGATATTGTGATAAAATAAATGTACATGTATGATAAGCAATGGAAATGTTAAAATTTCCTTCATTAATTTTTTAATCAACGGTTATAAATATGCGCTTTTCTTTATAAAGTGTATCCTCTTTAAAGAAGTCAAACTCTTTTTTCTTTTTTGTATAACTCAAACTCTTTTAACATATTTGTGGCGACTTCGGCGAGTGCACCGGTCGTACAAGTAATATAGTGTAAAAGAGTGGGGTTATCATTCTCACGAGAACTGATTATCAATCACTAACTTATCAATGCGATTAAAGTTGGATCGATCTTAAAATTGTTAAAAAAGAAAAATGAACAAAAACAAAAACATGAAAAGACCTCTTTCGAGGGAGAGTACCTCCTAAACCAAACAAAGATTGAAATATTTCTTATGTATTCATTATCAGTAAAACCATCATTTTATACACCCACCAAGCTATCAACAACAGAAAAAATGGAGAAAAATAACAGAAAGACGAAAATGAATACAAGCAAGTATCAGTAACCAAAAGCAATAACAGAATTTACTACCCACAATAATTGCCTAACAGACTGACAGTAATGCTAACTTCTCCACCCTTAGCTCACAACTAATGCTCATATAAAAAAACCATTCATCCATTTGGACTGGATTTTATTTTTGTTCCTTTTTTTTTGGACCACCTACTACTGGGCTAATATCATAACATTTGGCGCTAGAGAAAGGGCTTGAACCTCCTCTGGCGCAAAGCGAGTAAGAATTAATTTTTATTAATTTTTTATTTTCTTGATTTTTATATTCCCAACTAATTCCAACTGTCTTTGCTCATTAGATTATTGATTTGTTATTTTAAACTTGAAACAATATGAAAAAGGGATTAAAATCTTATCTAGTTGTTGGAATTTTAATATCTTTTGAGATTTATTAATTAACACTATGTTCTTAATCATATTAATTATTATTTAAATTATTTTTGATATTAAAAATATAGTGTCTTTGACAATTATCAATACTCTCTATTATATATTACTGGGTAAATTTAATGTTGTTCCTATTGAATCACCTAACATGACCCACATAAAATTCACCCAATAATAATATTAAAGAGTGTTGAAGAGAGACTAGTGTATTATTAGCATTTCTTTGCTTAATATCTCAACTTATCAAAAAGAAAAATACATGAATGAATTAAGTACAGGTGATTACATTTAATTTCTTTTATCTTTTTATTCAGAAAAGGAACTATTTATAATGTAGTTACTTGTATATTTGGACACTTTTATTCATTTACGAGCTGTCCAACTAGTTTGATAATATTTGCCACGGAATTTGAGAATTGATAAGTTACAAATTAAAATTAGGTTTGCCATCACATCTTTATCTTTGCCACGGAACATTTGTCTTTCTTTAATATAAGTTGCAACCTTTTGGGGAGCAAAATAAACAAATTTGCCTTTGCTCAAAACTTGGGCTAAAAGGGCAAGTGGTGGAAAAAGAATCAGAACCTCGTCATGAGTAAATGTCAGAGAAGAGGGGTCATAATGTAATATAAAATGCTAAGAAATGTGTAGTTAAGTGCATTAAAATTTGGGTTTTATAATTCTCACATAATTAAAATTTTCCTACCCATCCTTCGATGATTTTCGTGTTGATATAGATCCTACATATAATTTTTTTTAACATATGGATCTCACATGTTTTTTGTCTCTAAAACATAAGATTTCAATTCTTATTCAGCATGAGAATTATAAAACCCTTAAAATTTTTATAAGAAAGTTGCTATTATCAGGCTTAATTGGCTTAGAAAAGAAAGAAGAAATATTTAGTTTTAGTTAACTTGCTCAGGAAGTGTGTCTTTTTTAATCTTAATCATACAAATTACATTAAACGTCATGCTATATTAAAAAAAAAAAAAATCAATCATAAATTGAATATACTCTTTTATCATTATCAGGTAGCTCAGGAAGTGTGTCGTTTTTTATTGGCAACAAAGTTACTTGACAGTGTGCCAAAATAGAAGACTCGACGTCTAAGGGTGGTGGTCTGATGGAGAAGCAATGTCAACCGAAGATCAATAAAATGAAGGGAATAGACCCACCTTAATTTCTGAAAGCACAGCCCAACCCAATTGCCTTGTTCTCCTTTTAAAGCCCAACAGTCTCTCCTTATTCAGCTATCATTAGAATAATACTGCATAATCTCAAGATGATCTTAAACTTTTCGAAAAAGAAAAATATAAAGTTAAAATTGATTAGGAGAGTTTTGCCGCCACATGGTCTTACAAAAACCAATAAATAATATCTAAAAATAACAATAAAAATTAAAGTTATTACCATTAATTGGAAAATCAACGCTTAATATTGTGATAAAATATATGTACATGTATGATAAGCAATTGAATTGTTAAAATTTGCTTCACTAAATTTTTAATCAACAGTTATACCTCTTCACTTCTCTCTAAAGTGTATTACTCTTTAAAGGAATCAAACCCTTTTAATATATTTGTTGGGATATTCAAGTACGATGGAGTTTCATATTAGAGAATTAATTTTCTCATTTTACATGAGAAAATTTTCTCATGTTGCACATACAATACATGAGTGGGGTCCACAAAAAGGTGATAAGACAAAAAAGTCAAGATAGGATCCACTCATGTATTGTGAGTGTAGCATGAGAAAATTTTCTCATATAAAATGAGAAAACTATTTCCCTTCATATTATTTAGTAATGGACTAAGTCGTTTGGTACAAAGTTTTTTTTAGGATTTCCAAGAAACTGAAGGTGATAATCTTATTTATCCACGTTTGGTATAAGATTTTTAAATTTTTTCTGAAAATCTGATTTTTCCAGGATTTTATTTTGTTTATAATTTTTTTGAAAATATCATCCAAGAATATCACTTACGGGGTGGTATTCTAGGATTTCTATGACAAGAAAAATTTTAATACAACCAAATATAGTATCAAAAAAATTAACTCAATATACCCGGAAATATATTAGCCTACCAAACAATTTTTTGGTAACATTCACGGAAAACTCATTTTCCGATCATATTCCTAAAAATTGTGATTTCTGGATAAAAAAAAATTTCTTCCCTACCAAACGCCTCCTAAATTCTGAATTAAGACAAGATATTTGACCCATTTAATATGATTGATCTAGTTTAGCCCATTGATGATTGTTTTCTCTCTGATCCGCATGACAACATTTTTTATTATATATTAGGGGAATGATATTGTAACAACCAAGTTGTGTTACTACCAATCAATCTCACCGTTAGATCGATTATGTTGATCCAACGGTTATATTTATTTTCATCTTTGTATGGTTATGATTCCCCATATTTAAAGTGAAAGCATTAAATATGAGAAATCATAACCATACAAAGGTGGAAATAAATATAAAGTATTAAATTTGGGAAATCATAATCATACAAAGATAAAAATAAATATAACTGTTGGAACAACATAAACGATCTAACAGTGAAATTGATTGGTAGGACCTTGGTAGTAACACAACTTAGTTGTTACAATATCTTTTCCCTATATATTATACCATAAATTTTAAACGAATCGTGTCCGAAGTAGTTCTAATGGACCCAATTAATGTGATTTCGGATTTGTACCTCTTTCTTATTAGCATTTGTTAGGCTCCGCGTCTCTCCTTATATATATATATATATATATATATATATATAAGGTTTTATGTTTATCATG